AAGACGACAATACTGAAGGTGGGTATTTTCCATCGTTTATCATAATACTGTTTTCCTGCGTAAGGTCACTGAAAAGATGTAAACAAATGTTTTATTCGGGCTGAATGTACTGATATAACTGAAGTGGTAAGTGTGATAGAAGTTTTTTTTTCATTTGTTGATTGTAGTGTCATAATATTTATGAGAATGTGTAAGATGAGTTGTTTTTAACATCAGGATAGGTTTTCCATCGGCTTCATCTAAAGAAACATCGACCAAAGTCCTAAATGTGGGAAGAAAAGGTCCATAAGAAGTTACTTTATGGATTATAGGAGAACTATTACTATGATTAAAGATTTGCACATTTGTTTAATGCAGAAATCAGGATTTAATTTTTTCAGGGGCCACCATCTAGTGGTGGAAAAATGCATTGCACCTTAAGCCCCTTTTCCTATTTGATTACCTCTGGAAGCAACACCACTTGTACGTGAAGGCATACTCTAGCCGAGCAACAGAGCCAGACTTAAATGTAGATGAGAAATGTCTCTAACTCCACATCAATCTAGATCAGCAGCACTACTATTTAAGCACCCCTGGTCTAGAATACATCTGCAAATGCTTGTGAACGCTCTGTGATTGACATCTGTATGTAAGCGGATGTCTAACCCCCGTTTCACACTGCAAGCATCAGCGGAACGGAACAGCAGCGGAGCGGCTCACTCGCGAACTTCAAAGTGGTCCTTTTCACACCGGGAGAGTCTTGGCCACGGCACGGCTTCCTTGCTGCGCCTCGCTTTACTTTCGAGATTCTAAAATCCCTTGAGATTTCCACAATCCTTCCTCATCGAGGGATCACAACCCCCGTGAGGAATCACACCGTTGAACTTCTCGAAAGAAACGGGTGGTAAACAAAGCCGTTTGGTCACACGTGCTGACGTAAGTTATATAAAACATCGCAACGTTGCATTTTATTTAGAAAATCACCGGGGATTTTACACTGAAACTGTGTGTGGTTTCCTGTCTCGCACTATGTGTCCTGCGGAAATTGATGTGTCCCAGAAGCAGCTCGCTGAAAAAATAGAACTCGATCCTATCTTTAGCGGCGCAGGGCGGCATGCTGCTTCTGGGATGCGCCTGAAAATAGCCGTGTCGCGGCTGGTTTGAAACGTTGTAATTGGATTCTACTTGAAGCAATGCCGCTTTGCTGCCGTTCCGTTTCGTTGATGCTTGCAGTGTGAAACTGGGGTGGCGCTGTTGGCTAATGCTGAGTGGCACTCATTTCAAATTGCATGAAGCTCTATTGAACAGACATGGGCTTAGCAAAGAAAATCACATATTACCTACTAGTTATATGTATTTGTGAAATGAAGGCGCTATGGTACGTATCACAGTACAGGGAAGACGATACAATATATCATGATGTATTGCGATACATTCAGTCAGACGATATTAGCGATTTTTTTGTCTGAATTTATTGTAGGAAAATTCAATAGACAGTCCAAACTGATATGTAACATGTTTAACATGAGTTATCTGAACCATAATAGAGGGATTTACATTTCAATGGTGAAAACAAAACCCATTGCACACTGCTGCCAACTAGCGGTCAGCATTTGAATTGCACCAAAAGAAAAGAAATTACGCAAATGTTTGCATGTAAATTCTAACAAAAATTAGATACACAGCTTTTGAATATTGATATAATATTGCAGCAAAAACTATCACGATATTTTGCGATATTGATATTTTCAATACAAGGCTTTTGTTAATAGAAAAAATATGGAAAAAAAATCACAATATATTGCCATATCAATTTTTTTTACATCCCTATTACCTACATTATATCACAGTACAAGGTAAGAGTATCACTTTTTCGTATTTCCTAAAGGTCATACATACATACATTTTAAAAGGACAACTCCGGATTGCTGCTTGCAAAACAAAACATTTCTGTTTTGATAGCATATGTTATTTAAATGTAATTATTCAAGTTTTTCTTTTTTACAATAACTTCTTGAATTCACTAAATACAGAAATCTGCTTATTTCACAGTTTTTAATTTCCTGCTTTTGAGGAACAAGTCATCAGAAAAATCTAATATTGCAACATTTTAACCACTCCTCCGATTTCTTTACACAGCCTGTTTTAATCCCAAGGAATCTGTTTTTTTTCCCTGGATTAATATTTAGTGTAGACTTAATATCCTAATATATGGTTGTGATTAATGTTCATGATGAGGTTCAACAATAAAGCTAGTTTCACTATTATAAGCTTACCTCTTTTCTCATTAACCAGCAACAAGTTACATGAAAGCCTCTAGAATGGATCGATAAAGGGCACCCCGTTGGTGCTGCGTCTGAAGCTTGCTTACCCATCACTGAGAAAAATGAGAAAGAAAATGAAATGCATTTTAAACTCCTGCTGGGATTATTCTAATGACGTGTCGTAAGTTGCAGATGATGCATTCCAACCAGTGCTGGTTGACTAAATGCTCATCTAGCTAACCCTGTCTGTGCGTCCTCCTCTTTACTCTCTGTCCCACTTTTCCCCTGTCCCAACACTCCCCAAGAAACACAGACATCTGCTTCTGAAAGAGATGCCTGAATGTTAGTGTCACACACTTTCCCATGGTCCCTTGTTCTCTGCTGACTGTGCTCTTGTTTTCCTTTAAGGTCCTGCACACCTGATGATGGGCGAGCAAGGTATGGGCTTTGTTCCTCTTTCCCCGTCATTCCTTCATTGTTCCTCCTGCTCCCATTGTGCTTTAGGAATATGTGTGCCTCTAATTTCAGCACAGGCTTCAAGCTTCACATGGGCTGCCGTCGATTATTTTCTTTTTAAGGATATGATGTGAAGGTTCTCAGTCATCCAGGTCATGGTGATCCAAAGAGTTTCAATGAAAGCAACTGGACTTCTTTGGTTTCTTGAAGACGTTTTGTTTCTCCTCCTAGGAGCTTTGTTAATTCTCACAGGAATATATGAAGGTCAAGCTTATAAACTGTAGCTGTCTGTTGCTGTTTGACGAGCTGAAACTACCCATGACTATGGCTGATAGCTATCTATGTCAAACAGAGGAGGTGGCCCCATGTTTCACCTTTTCAGCATCTACAATGCAACTTTAAAGGGATATTATGCAACTTTGTCATATTTTTAAGTAATTTTCTTGAGCCAGTATGTGGTAAAATGACCCTTTACAGAATTGATTAAATGTCACTCTGACCCCTACCGCCCTCTGTGGCCGGAATACCACATTTGCAACCTCAGAGTGCCGGTCCATTGGACATACCTGAGCTGACATACTTGGCGCTGCAGTCTGCTTTCAGCACATTTACTGAATGTTTTAGATCACACCAGATTTGTTTGATTTAGTGACTTTAAAGACATTAATAAAGACCAAGGAGACCTTTCAGCAGTTAAAGTGTTTTAAAAGACGACTGCACAGGAGATAAGTTTGATTTTCGATTTGACCACAGATAATTAACAGCGGACACTAGTGAGTGCTAAAGCAAGCAAAACTTTCGAGTTTGCCTTTAAATCTAATCCCAGAAGAGTTTTCCACCCTCCTGTATAAAATCAAAACAACCTCTCCCGTACAATAGAGCCTAACAACACCCACGACTCCTCAGGTTGTAGGGAGGAGGGGTTCTGGATGACTGAGAATCCTCACTAGTGAGGAGGGGTATTCATTGGTAGGTATTAGACAACAACACTTTGTAAGCTTGACTCTCCCATGTTGCAGTCAGAATTGACAAAAATTCCTCAGAGAAGTGAAACGTCTTCGAGAAACCGAAGAAGTCCAGTTGTCATTTGAACCCTTTTGGACTTTCAAAGGATCTTGTTGATATTCAGTCTTCTATCGCTCTATTAATTTCTGCCTCATCTCGTTTAGGCAACCACACCATTTCCTGCTACACGTCCTTACTTTTTAATTATTTACATTTACTGTACTCGCTTTGGTGTAATGGTGGTGGTTCTCGCAAAAGGAGACTTGCATTTACCGTGTTTGGATGTAATTTATGGTGATGGAAAACAGCTTACCGACTCTTTTCGCTAATCCTCATCTGGACACACTTTTGTAATGCACACTGAGAGCATCTGCACAAACACTTTGTTCATTCTACTGATGTCTTTCCATTTGTGTGACTCTGCACATTATCATGGTACAGCAGAGCAGGAATGTATCTTTCCTTTAAAAAAAACATCACTGCAGCTGCCCATTTTCTCTCTCACACATATTTGTTGCCATGAAGCGTCTCCCACCTGCCCTCCACCCTCCTCTGATTTTACTATGACACTTATCCAGTGTCTCCTCTCCCTTTGCCTCTCCTCCTCCTTTTGTCTGGAATCTGCTTTCTCCATGGAACATTTCATCAAATCTTATAGGTAAAAATAAAGGTACTATCCTTTTTCAATTTTCCGAATTGACCGAACTTTGTGGCAGTGTTTGTGGCATAACATGCTCAAGCTGTGTGATCTATAAATTCACCAGCATTTAAAACTGCAAAGGGTCAACCCGTAAATGAAAGGGTTTTCAGGTAGGTGCTGCTCTCGCTTTGCATTCATATGTGTCACCTGCTCTCTTTTCTTGCCCGATGCATGGGAACCACAATGTCTGAATGCAAAAGCTGCTGTCCTAGTTTTAGTACACATCCTGCTCTGTGGGATATTTGCTCTCCATATTTATATATTTTTTAATCGTGGGTTTTGAGGTTGCGGGTGACGCTTGATCATAGTGTTGTGGGCCTCTCATCCTGGCTGTGATCCTCACCTCTTCTCTCTGTGGGGTAAGTGGACTTCTGATTTTTCCCATTTGACTTTCCTCCACAGGGCAGAGAGGGGAAGCTTGGCTTGTAAGGTCCCTGCTGAGCATTCAAGGTAAAACTTTATTATTATTATTGATTATTTCATGTTGATTTTTGCAGTAAAAGCCAAATTTAGCGAGTTCTGATGTAGTAGCTGTGTTGTACTTCATTGTCACTACAGGTAGATGGCTAATTGTAGACTAACCTTTAATTATGCTGTCAAGCTAGTTAAAAAACCCATGATGGACACTGTGACAATTAAGCAACCCATTTCCATTCTGAGGTAACTTTCTCTTTGATTTTGTTTGCACTGGCTTTGGAATTTACCGTTTCATCAGTTTTACTTTGAAAGTGAAGCTTTTGACATGACATACCAAGTAATACATTAGATTAAATGTCTATCGTGTACTGATGAAGCATCATTTTATCAGGTAAGTTTTCAAATCGGGGAAACAGTGTGGCAAATGCATTTTTGCATTCTAAGTTTTTTTTTTTTTTTTTGAAGAATGCCTTCCTGATGTTTGCTCTTGTATGTCTAATGGCCAATTCATGGTTTCTGCTATTGAGTTCCTAGATTTGCAAGTATGCATGATGTTATTTCAACTGCACCAGTCTACTAAGCAGAAGACTATTTTTTGATGATCCTATAAGTTGTACAGACCACAATTGCACTGTCTGGACTTGACCCAGCATGACAAAACATCAGTTAATTAAAAAAGAAACTAACTCTATGCTGAGCTTAGAGGTGAGATAAACATGAATTTCTGCCTCATGCATATTTTAGTATGGGTTACTTATTTTTCCAGTTGCATTTTTCTTCAGCTGCTCATGATTGGAAATACTATAGGGATTTTTGTCCATTTTGAATTGTGTTTCTGTGCAAAATGCCTGTTTAAGATAACTTCCCTGTTGAATTTAAACAGGAACAGTGTTTACGTCCTTAACGACTGATGAGCTAATAGTTAATCAGTGTAAGACCAAGCCCCAAATGTAATACTGTTGCATTACTGTCATTTAGAATTCCTCAATATCAGTATAATGCAGTAATGATGTTGGTGTATCCAGAAAAGGGGTGAAGGACTAAGAAAGTTAGGGTGAACTTTAGGGTGATTTGGATCAATTTTAAAAAGCCTTTTATTAGCATTATGTGCAATCTAAATAGACCCAAATGTGAAGTTGATTTCTGCCATCTTCATACTACTCCAAGTTGCGACCTTTCAAAGGTCATGCAAGCAAATAATATTTTTTAATCTATACACTGTGGTTAGGTTTGTATTACATATTTGTTTTGGAAGAACTTCTTGCTGGATTGTAAGCAGCAAAACAACCAGATCTGAGGCCCTTTTTTCCTTAGTGCCTACTCAGCTCGTCTCAGCATGACTGCACGGCTTTTCCACTAGTAGCCCGCCCTTTTTCAATTCAATTCAATTCAATAATACTCTATTAATCCCAGAGGGAAATTGGAGTTTCAGTACACACAATTCTGAGATCAGACATATATACATACATACATGACAAGAATCGGTGACTGTGGTCATTCGCAACCCGAGTCGCGCTACTGTAATAGATCAAGAGGGTTTATATGAGGATAGAGTCAGGGGGAGGGAAAAAAAGGCACTTCAGAGTTACTCTCACCCAAGAGTGTAGCTTTGCTATGCAACAAAAAACACCTCAGACAGATATGCAACAGACTTCAGACATTACACAACATAATTGTCCACTAGGTGGGGAGGTAGGGTTGGGACTGTCCTCACTTTGGTGTGTGCAGCCGCATGGAGCAGCGCTTATCACCTCCGTTTGGACAGGGGAGGGAGATTAATGGGTTGGAGAGCAAAGTTACTCCTAGATATGATTCCACGGCCTTCACCGGTCACAGTCCCGCCCAGGCTGGGAGAGGGAGAAAGAGTTGCCTAGCGACGGCAGCGTTCCACATTTCTTCTGAGGGGGGAGTTTTTACTTTAGACTCAAGGACACCAGATTCAGATAAGGATTGTTTTGGGGACAGACAGAGATAATTTCCTCTCTGCCTTACGCCGGGGACACACTGGCCGCGGAAGCGCCGCAAAGCGCTGAGAAGCGAATCGCTCACGAAATTTGGCCGCTGCTCGCCGCTCCTCAGTTCAGATCAGACGCGCCCCAGTCGAGGCGCGCCTCGGCTCAGCTGTAGTTTTTCTTTTAAAACACTTGGTGTCCTCCATTTCCTCTCTGCCTTTTCTCAGCTATTTTCGTCTACGTGTGTGCGCACACGCATGTGCGTGTGTGTGTGTGTGTGTGTGTGTGTGTGTGTGTGTGTGTGTGTGTGTGTGTGTGTGTGAACCTATGGTATGAGTTGTTTCTGCCAGTTGAATCTCTTGGAACCCGCTCCAGTTCTGCAGCTGTATGCTAGCAGTTTCTTCCGAAATGGGTACGTAAATAACCATGTTTTTCGGGGGTCGTACAGCTCCTTGTGTTTCTCAATTTCCATAACTAATTTAAAGTCATCCATCTTAACTGCTTGCCTCAGACTTTCTACCTCTCTGTCCTGTTTGCTCCGGTGAAAAGACACCCAAAACCACACACCCCTTCACGTGGTCACACACGCACACAAGTTCGATGTGTGTGTGTGTTCGTGTGGTTTTTCTGCAGTGTCTGATTACGAACACATTTGACTATTGCGGAATTTTATTTTGAAATGCTTTAATTTGTTAACTTTACCAGCCTGCCTCTTATGTCTAGGTTTGACTTCCTGCCAGAATTGACGCGATTCACCCGCGGCTCGCAAAAAAAATAGAGCCGACGCCGAAATGATCGGTGCACGGCGCGGGCTGGGGTGCCGGCGCGAGGCGATTCGCGGCGCTTCGGCGGCTCATGTGGTCTATAGAATAGCTTAACAAGGGCGCCGAATGAAGGCGGCCCCATTTTCGCGGCGCTTCCGCGGCCGGTGTGTCCCCGGCGTTAGAGTTCTGTTGGTCATCAACCCCTCTAGATCCAATAATGGCGTAATTAATCTATCCCAACCTGTACTGATCCCTCCACAACTCTGTCCTTGATGGAACCCACCTTCTGTGTCAGAGCCTAAATCTCAGCCAAAGTTCAAAGCTTGCGACTCATCTCGGCAATTATATGAGTTTTTGCATTCACAGCGCGATGCATTCCATCCCTGAGCTCTGGGATTAAGCCAATATTCCTCGAAAGCTTGTTAATTTTCTGGTAAGCCAGGTAACCACTCAGGCCAAACAGCAGGAATCCTGACACCAAAACCACGAATATCCAGACATCTTCAGAATCCTCTACAGACAGTTGAGAGAGGCATATCAGGTTCCACTGTTTCCAGGAGTCCATGATATACCCAGCTGGCTCTGTCCCAGAGGGGCATCCGGGAGCCCCTTCTCCCATTCTCATTGTTGAAAACATTTTGTCAATCACGTTGAGTGACCAGCTGACCAGATCCATTTTTAATAATTTCCAGTTTCCAGAAAAAATGCAGAAGAGCCATGCACAAAGACAGGACAAAGAGCCTTGGGATAATAGGGAGGGAGAGCAGAAAAATGCGCCTGTACTCTCCAAGAGCCGGAAGTCAACCAACCTTGCTTTAGTTCCAAGCAAAACATGCCAACCTGAAAATATGGCAACAAAAGATTGTCGGCCACTGATTGGCCAGGGGGTGGAGTCTTCTGGACCTCTCTGGAGTATTTTGCCTTCCTGATCCAGAGTAATTTCCAGATTTCATCCTTATTGAGTCTGAGAAAAGGCTGCAGACTGAGCAGAATGTTTAACATCGCTACCATTGATGCTTTGTGTTGTGTTAAGCCTCCTTTCCACCAGACATAAATGCGGTGTGTAATGTAATAGTGGCTTTTTAACTGCAAGCTCCCTCCCAACTGGGAGCGATTCTGTCACGAAATAAGACTGAAAGTGTTCCACGCAAAGTCACAAAATCATGGAAGAATTTCAACACCAAGCGCGATTTCAGAAGTCCACACAATAACAGGCAAGGAGAAAGACAGCAGCATGGATCCAGAAAGGTGTGTGACTTTCTGTTCTTTCTGTTTCTCTTCTGTTTGTCGGCGACGGGGGTTTCACAGGTTTATCTGCACGTGACTTTTATTTTGAAAGGTTCCGGATGTTTTACACTGCTTTCCTGTTTGACTCCCTGTCTGACCTTATCCAAACTGCGTGTTTTGAAAGTGTAGTGTGCAGTAAATGAACTAAAAACACAATGATAGCATCCAACACCCTTTGCTTCTGATATGCGTTTAAATCGTTAAACTTTGCAGCCGGTGGAAAGAAACCTGTCCACTATAACAGCAGCTAACTACAGCAAAGTAAGATTTGCGGCAGTTTTGCGACGCTTTCATGTCCGGTGGAAAAGAGGCTTTAGTGTTGCAAACAGATTGCATTATTATACCTTTCAGACTATAGCCATCCTGCTCTGACAAACCCACCCACTAGAGCTGTTTATTAACCTTAATGGAAAACTATCCAAACCATGTAGAGTAGAGTTGAGCTAAGGTAAGTCGCACTGTGAATGTGTAGTGGAAAAGGGGCGTTAGTGTCTGCTGGGGAGGGTTGAGTGTAGATAACCACATAATTCAATGTGCACTGCAAAAGTGATTTATAGTTTCTGAAATAACATAAATGTCCTTTAAGACTGGGGCAGCTTTAAGGCTGCAACAATAAACTTAGGTCTTAGTTTCTGTTCAGACTTTCCATTAGCCTATCAATCTTGTAGGTCTTTCACACCATTTCTTTGAACAGAGGCCATTTCGTAAGCTTTATTCGGCGGATTGAATAGCAATTATTTATAATTTTTACACAGAAAATAATTCAAAATGGCTAAAATATTCATTTTACTTGCTGTGCTGATCATTCCAAATATATTTTACCTAATTTTGCATTTGTAGCTCACCATCATGTATGAGGAAACCATAAATTGGTCTTAAAGCTATGTAAATATGGGACTACATGCATATTCTTTGCACAAATATACATCCACACAATCACCTGCTCAGAAGACCTAAATCCAGCTGCTCTAGATTCCCTGGTCACAATCACAGCTTAGCTTGCCTCAAGTCAAGCCTAGCCTCCTGATAA